GGTAGAGAGAATAGTGCAACAATGAATGAATGGAAACCCAAAATCTCTGTAAATGTTTATGAAAATTAATAAAATATAATTATAGAAAAAAAGAGAAGATGTTTTCCTGACATTTACCTCCTTCTGGACTGCAAAGTTTTTCCCGAGGTGGGTCCAGTGGGGATAGCTGACTGAATCCTGAGGTTCCATCCTCCTTTGCTTCCTTAACTGGCCATTGTATTTCCTTTTTTTCTCTGGAACTGGGTTCAAGGTCAGGTCTGGAGTAAAACTCAGAGTTAAGGTTACCTGTAGAAAAGGGAGCAAATCTAGAGAGAACAAACTTGTGAGTTACAAATAGAAGGGTTTTGGGGTGTTACTTAAGGGTGTACTGAGGGAGAGGGTGGATGAAAGTAGCCTGGATAAAATTCTCTGTATACCCTAGGCAGTTTTTTTCTACCCAGGGGTCTGATGGTACAATCTGAGGGCTGAGGAGCTCACCCCAAGGTCCAGCTCACCCTGCCAGGGGCTGAACACATGGCTCACCCCGCCACCTCCAGGAGCCGAATGGAAAGCTCTCCCCACCGCCCGCCAGGGGCCGAATGCACGGCTGGCCTGCATATATACTTAAAAAAATTTTTTTATATTAATTTCAATGAAAATATACAGAGTCTTTGGATTTCCATTCATTCATTATTGCACTTTTCTCCCCTCCCAACCCTCCCTCACCCCTGTACTCTATCCTCTTGGAAAAGTAAAAGAAAAATTCTTTCATTGTTTTACAATCCCTCCCCTCAGGTCCACTCCACTATGCAGCCTTCGCTCTGGACTCCTGTCATGACAAAAATACCTAGTCACATATCCCTTTTAAACAGTTTTCTCCCTCATCTGTTTCAATGCAGTATACATTAATGAACCCATCTTTTTCCGTCTCCTCACAACCCTACTGTCAGTCCTGTTTTACAACCTTGCACCAGGCAGTATTTTTCCTTTTGTGACTGAGATACTTCATTTAGCATAATGTCCTCCAGGGTCACCCATTTTAAATAATAATTTATGAGTTCCTTGTTTTTCAATGCAGCATGGCATTCCATTGTGTGAATATACAACACCATTCACGTTCAGTGTGACTATTGAAATGTTAGGTTTTATTGCTATCATTGTGTTGAGTTCTTTTTGGTGTTGTTGCTAGTTACTTTAGACCATGGAGCTTTCTGTGGTATATCTGTAAGAAG